AGGATATTGATTCGTTCCTGGTCTGGTGACACGGTCCTGGTCTGGTGACACGGTCCTGGTCTGGTGACACGATCCTGGTCTGGTGACACGGTCCTGGTCTGGTGACACGATCCTGGTCTGGTGACACGGTCCTGAAGTGGGAGGATGACAGCCAGGCTGCTACCCTGTTCAGAAGGATATAATCAGTGGCAGCCTCAGTGTTTCATTCATGACCGGTTCTCTTGAGGCCCATTGAGAGGGACTGTAATGCGTTTTACATCTAGAACCCGTGTGGAGGGGTTGTTGCATTCTCATACAAGTCTATGGGAGTACGAAAACTGCTTGATGCAGGTTGGATGGAGGTGAAATGCGCATGTCGATGAAGTCTAAGCTCTGAATGATCTCAAACTGATGTCATTGATCTTTTCATGTGATTTCAGCTCTTTATTGGAGAGCCGGGCCCTGCAGGGGGAGGTGCGGCCCCCATGCGGTTTGTGGGATATACCCCTCAAATAAACCATCTGTGGCCAGAGATCCGATTGCAGGAGCACCTGGAGACCTACGGATCCATCAAAGGCATCAGCAGGAACAGCCTGAAGGAAGTGGTGGACAAGTGAGCTATTGTTATATGATGCATCGTAATCCGGGACTCCAAAGAGAATGACATTGTTAAAGGGCCGGCGTTCCATGAATTCCATGCCATCCCCTCACAGTGCCATTCCACTCATTCCATCCCGATCGCAATCCAGTGTTTGTTTATCCAGTTTACCCAGGGGCCCCTCCATGATGATGATACAGGGGACATACTGGGGCCCCTCCATGATGATGATACAGGGGACATACTGGGGCCCCTCAGTGATGATGATGATACAGGGGACATACTGGGGCCCCTCAATGATGATGATACAGGGGACATACTGGGGCCCCTTAGGGATGATAATATACGGGATACACTGGGGCCCCTCAGGGATGATAATACAGAGGATACACTGGGGCATATCCTGTGTCAGCGTTTATCCGGCGTCTCTGGTCTTGGTCACGCCTGCGTATTACAGCCCTGTAGACTTCTAATCCTTTTTGTGACCCTAACCTAACAGAACCCACCCGCTGCCGGTGCGCACTTACCTCCTCTATGGGGTAGTGAGCTGTGACGATCAGAAATGGTCCCATACAAGTCTATGGAGCTGTAATGTAAGACGCCACTCGGCTTGCGGTGCTGGATCTACACAAACACAGGTAGCCGCGGCCATCAGATCTAGATAGGTTTGCATCTGTGAAAGGGGGGAGGGGGGGGGGATATTTTGGGTCAGGCTAAAGGGGCAAAAGAAGGCCAAGTATGGTTAATAAGCTGCCTTCACTTTTCAATCACTTCCAATTGTATTAGCCATCAAAAGCTAATGTAAGAGTAATTGAAGGTGCCCGAATTCTCTATAGTTGTGGGCCCAGCAGGTGTACAGACCCGGGAACTCAGCACAGGG